GAGGGAATTCAGACGAGGAAGAGAAAACCCAAAACACTGAATAAAAGCAAGGGATCCTCTGGTGAGTCACGGGGGCAAATTACTGTTCACGTTCTATAGTTTAAAAAAATGTATTATTTTTCACGTTTAACACTGATGTAATATATATATTTTTTGATTTTTTTTAAAGGAAATAACAGCTCCATCTCAATGACTCCCACATCAACTTCTTCATCCAATTCTGAGGATTGTTCCAAAACAAGCTCTCCATCTGGTCAAGTGTCAGGGGTAAGATTATAATTAGAATAATCTATTTATTATTGTTATTATAAAATCAACGATATATTGCTTAATCTACATTTAACACACACACACACACACCTTAGCCTGAACTGAACTTAATTAAAAATTAATTTAAAATTTAATTTAAATTAATTTAAATTGTATTACAAATTACTGCCTAATCCTAATCTTTTCATTATCATTTAATCTGAATGAATTCCAATCCTAACTCCAAACTAAATTTCGAACATCAAACATCATCTCTTATGTAGAAAGAGGTAGAGAGAGAGAGAGAGAGATTAGGGAAAATCTATTAATTGTTGCTAATCTACAAAACTAGTTATTCCCATCACAGCAGGTCCAGACATATGTGATTGATTATATTATTTTAGTTTCCAGTGGCACTTTGGCCCAGAGGCAATGTCTCTGTCATTGGTGTGGAACCCCAGGGTTCACCTCCTGGGCAAGTTCGAATCCCGGTTAGGGCGGTTGGTACCTTCCAGTGGACTCACCACCTGCAGGAAGGTTCTGGGGGGTTGGTACGGTGCAATGTGATTTGGGTGTGATTTTAGTTTCCTCATCAAACTCAAAGTAACGATATTTTAGAAAGGTCAAAAATATATGTCCCTGACTGCAGAGGTTTGGAGGAGGTTCATGAAGCTTTGGTCTCCTGGTTTTCCAACTGTCCAGTTTTTCTTCTTAGAGCGTTTTTAAAAAAGTCCTCCCACATTCTTCCACACGATTCAAATTTCTAACGAAACTCCCAGTTTTAGGTGAACTGAAATATTCCTTCCTCTTCTGTCTCCGACTAAACTGGAACTGCAATGTCGCAGAATGGTCTTTTTTTTTCAGACTTTGCTAAAGTTTTATTTATATAAAACCTATATTTTTCACGTCTTATGTCTCTACTGTTATTCCTCTTGACTTTTCCCATTGGTTCAAATAAACATTAAACGTTTTTGCTTTGCTGTCTTGCAGGTCAGTTCGTCTGTGCTGTCCAATTCAGGGGATGGAACAGGCACCGGCTCAGTCATGAAATATTCAGCACAGGACGGCCTGTACACCAGCGTCGGCCTGACCCAGTCTTCAGATGTAGCTTCAGTCCGTGGTGAATCCTGGTGCATGGCCTTAGCTTGATCAAAAGATGTTTTTTTTCTCTCTCTGGAAGGACAGTAATCCTTGGCCCCGTGTGTCTGGATGCTACACATTGTGGAAGTATTTTTGGACATTTTCGAGCAGACGTGGACAGTGGGGGAGAAGAGAGAAGAGTAAGACCACTCTAGGTCGTTGCTGCAGGCTGGGAGCCAGGGTGGACTATCTGGGATTTCAAATCACAAAAAAAAAAAAAAAAGGGAAACGCCAGGCTTGATGATCAACTCGACGGATGGCCTGCTGTGGATGGATTCTGGACCTGCCATGCACTCGAAATCTCCACCATCCACGGCACTGCAGCCATCATGTACTGTAGATAACGTATTTTTCTCTCTGAAGAAAAAAAACCTGATGATTGGATACAAGCGCTTCATCAAGCGCTGCACTCTTTTAGTACATTTAGATTTTTCATTTTTATTTCTTTCCTTCCCCAACTGGAATCATGCGACACGTGCCTTGACGAGTTTTACGAATCAGAAAAAGAAAAAAGAAAAAATATTTATAAATCTTCTAATGTTGAAAACATGGTTATGATTGTGAATAAAGATATCAATATAGAGTAGAGGATGAACCATTCTGACGCCTTCCTTTCTTTTGTGTGCGTCCTGTAATACAGTAGTGTTGAATGTGCACATGTTTTCCACTGAAAGCTCTTACTGTATTTGACTGAAGCTCACATGGTTTAAACAGGGTATAAATGACGGCGTCGTCCCGTTTGTTTGTTTGTTCGTTTGTTTGTGTGTTTAATCACTAGTGAGTATGAACTCCTTCAGACAAATCTTTGATGCTGAAACACTGTCGGCCCGTGGCCGAGGCGTGAAGGTACTTCCCTCAGAGCAGAGCTTCAGAGACGTGAAGCAGTTGGACGGATTTGTTTGAACAAAGCACACCCAGAATAGCTGCGAGTCCACTGACCTTTGTGTTACAAGACATAAAATGCAAAATAAGGACTGTTGGCTGCACAACCATGTGATTCATTACTAACAGTGTAATTTTCACAGCACAAACATGAACTGTGGTTTTAAGTTTTGTTTGTTTTTTTTTTTTAAATGAAATTAGAGCAATGTGAAGAGTGTAGTCATCTCTGAACAAACCCATGTTACCTTGATGACAGTACATAAACCCCAGTAAGGGTTAAATGTAATGAAACATTTTTTTGGAGTTTCATGTGACAAGCAGACAATCAGAAAAATAAAGAGCGATGCACAACAACCGGAATTACAATTTATGATAATTCATGAATATTTTGATTTATTTTTTTGTCTGTTTGTTTTGTTACGATGTCCTCCTACCACCACATACGTCAGGTCTAGTAGCCAACTCAAGCCATAAAGAAAATTCACATATGTCCATTTAAATGATTCCATAGTTCACCCTTTCACCCTCACGGAGCTATTTATTTCTTGTACTATGTGTTATGTTTTTTTTTAAATTCTTGGAATTTGTAAAATATTTAATTTTAATCCATTAAATTGTTTTGGTGAGGCAAATGAAATAAGAGTCACTCTGTGTTTTTAAGAAAATATCAACATGCCACGTGTTTCTGAAACATTTACAATCACAATTTCCGATTTGATGACAAAGTTGAACATTTGTTTATGCGCCTGCTTTATGGATTTTATTGGTTCAACATTAACTCAATTGATACCTTCAGAATTTGGACGAGTTTACCACATCTGACGCACACGTAAAAATGTACACAGACTTGGGGTTTTTTTTATCAGTTTGTGGTCACAGATGTCTGATAGTTAATCTTAATGATGAGCCAGATGTTTTCAGTAGGAGACAGATCTGAACTGCAGGCAGGAGAGTCAAGCACTTACCTACAGAGGTAAGCTTCTGTGATGAGTCAAGAATCCAAGGATTCCCTGCAACA